AGCAGCTACAATTCAATCCTTGCCTCATAACATTCTTGCTTCATGATGTTATCTAGGCAACACTGGAGAATGAGGAAAAAAGTAAAACCAATTAAACATCTGTGTAAATTGTTTTAAGTTAAACATACATCTAGCATATAGCCCAGAAATTTCAGTCCTAAAATATATAAAACCATACGTCTACACCTGTCATGAATGTTTATAGAAGATAAATTTATAATCACCAAAAACTGAAAACAATCAAATGTCTGTATACTGGTGAATGAAAAATTTAAAAACTGTGGTACATCGATACAATGAAATACTACTCAGCAATAAAAAGGAATGGATTACTGACACACGAAGCAACATGGTGCACCTCAGAAGCATGACACAAAGAGAAAGAAACCAAACTCAAAAGTCTACATACTGTATGATTTCATTTACATGACATTCCAGAAAAGAAAAAGTATACAGGAAGAAAACAGGTCAGTGACTACCAGTAGCTGTGGAGTAGGAAAAGGAGACTAATTACAAGGCACACAAGGGAGGTTTTGGGGGTGATGGAAATGTTCTTATATCTTGACTGTGGTGGGGTAGCTATATGCTCTACAGGTTTGTCAAAACTCAGAGAACTGTACATCTAAAAAGGGTGAATTTTATTATATGTAAATTATATCTCAACAAGCTTAACTTTTTTTAAAAAGTCAGGCAATGTGGTACTAAACATAAAAATAAATAAATTTTTGAAGTTGAGCATCAGCCTGGCCCATAGAAAATAGAACCTAATCAAAAGTTATGCCCTAATGCATCACTAAGGGCTGCAATCCCAGAGAGGCAAGAGTAAAGGAAAAAGTGAAGCAAATCAATGAAAGAAGGAGAAACTACAGTGCATTGTGTTACTGATTTTGAATTGGTTGTAGCTTCGGGGGACACGCAGTTAGCTGTCGTTCTCACAGGACATCTATAGAGAAGCCACTGGATAGTAGCAATGGTTGTTCACAATAAAAAAAAGAAAGAAAGAAAGAAAAAAAAAATGCTGGGTGCAGTGGCTCATGCCTATAGTCCCAGCATTTTGGGAGGCCGAGGCAAGTCGATCACCTGAGGTCAGGAGTTCGAGACCAGCCTGACCAACATGGTGAAACCCCATCTCTACTAAAAACACAAAATTAGCCTCGTGTGGTGGCAGGTGCCTGTAATCCCAGCTACTTGGTAGGCTGAGGCAGAAGAATCACTTGAACCCAGTGCGCAGAGGTTGCAGTGACCGAGGTCACGCCACTGCACTCCAGCCTGGGCAACAAGAGCAAAATTCCGTCTGGAAAAAAAAAAAAAAAAAAAGAAGCGGGAGCCATATGAAACAGTCAACAGGGAGGAGAAAAAGCAAACAATTTATCTCCTTTCATTCCTCCCAATGAAAAGCTTGCTCAATGGAGTGAAATACCTATACTTCTGGACTGCATTGCCCAGCCCCTGCATACAGTTTCTGGGAAAGCCAGAGGCTTCAACAGGTCCATTTGGATCAAACCTTTGCACCAGAGCTGCAGAAGCTCCTCTGTCATGAGCAGAATGGAGCCCTTGCCTGTAGGATCAGCTCCCAACCCAGGAAAGGACGAGGCCATTAACGATGTTAGGAGATGCATCCCAGGGATAGTGATTTGGGCTGCATAAACCACAGGATCAGCTACAGGAGTCATCACTGGAAAAGCGTGATAAATGGCCAAGGCCTGGAGCAGGTGGGGCCAGCAGATATGGGGAGTTTCACAAACTGGGTCTAGAACAATGGGCTATAATTAATAGACCTTCTAAACTAAAAGAGTAGTTTCATTTTTAAGAATATGCCACAGATACACAGAAAATTTCAAGCAAACAATTTCTATCCATTAACAATTTCTATCCATCTGTTCATATGATGATCTCACCTGACTTCTAAATAATAAACAAGTTCAGATCTGTGAGGTTAAACACCATGTCAAGCTGACATGTTCAGGGACCGCTCCATACAGAAAGCAGACACTGCACATCTAAATAATGCCCTCCTCTGGACAGATCACAGGACCAATTCATGATCCACCCACCACAGCATGGATATAATCCTTCAGAAAATAATAAATTCTAAGTAGTATTCAAAATCTAAAGACTGTCTTATAATCCTTCCCTCTGAGACATCAATGCAAAAATGTTACAGTTGAGGGGAACTGAAAAAGCTCAACTCCGTATTTTAACATGGCAATATCTTATGCTTTTAAAAAGTTACTACAATCATTATGTGCTTTTACATGTATCATCTTATTTAACCCTCATAATCACCCTAGGAGACAGGGTATATTGTTGCTCCTGTTACAGATGAGAAAACTAAGGCACAAAGATGTGTAATTTGCCCACAGCGTCTGAACTTTGCTAGTCTGAGCCCAGAGCCCCATACTCATACACAGTCATTCAGCAGATATGTGAGTGCCTGCCAGAAGCTGGAGATATCGAGGTGCAGATAGCACATGACCCTGCTTGTGCACAGTTTATGCTCTACGGGAAAGACGGGCATTGGACAAGTAATCACAAGTAAATAAAGGAGAAGCAGAGTCCTACGGAAGTTCACACCCTGTGCCTACTCAAAAATCTACGGTGCAAAGTTTGTGGTCATATTAATATCAACTACCAAGGTTAAATCTGCAAGTACACATATTCAGGAGAAAATGCAAGCCAGTCAGATTCACTAGTGCTTTTTAGTTTGTATTTTCTCTATATACAGTACAGTGGTCATTTTCCAAACCTAAACAGGTCCTGATAAAAAACTTTTCCAGTATTAAACAATTTACATGTTTACTAATTTGCTCATTTAATGTTTTTCTTACCCAGGCTTTAAAGTTCAATGAAATTAATTATATATCTATTTAACCATCTTCATTTTCAAAAGAACAAAGAACAAAATATATAAATTCTGGTACTGCTCAGGAAAATATAAGAGTACTGGTTATTTTAACTACAACATAGTTATTTCACACAGATAATTCTATGATAAATAGATAAACTTCATTCTATAAAATAAGGCTTCTCAGAAGTGACTTCTTGGCTTGCTTGAGGAGAGAGTTTGACACAGTCATAAGAAGCCCAGATTCTGGCATCAGACGGTCCAAGACTAGATTTACTTCCTACCTATCACTGGGCAAGGCTCCTAGCCTCTGCAAGTCCTGATTCTTTCATCTGTAAAATGTAATAAAGTTGCTGAGACCTCAAAGGGTTGTTGTGAAGGTTAAAGGAGATAATGCATGTAAAGTGTTTAGCATAGTTCTTGACCCATAGTAAGCACCTAATGTATATGAGCTGTCATTCCCATTATTAATCCTCTAAATGGTTTGCATATTAAAAGAAACAGAAAAAGAAGAAAAGGTAAATGGATGGTGTATGAATGAGATGCTTGAAATGTGTTAGGGAGCATGGCCTAAAGAGCCACCCAATTACACCAAGGGCAGCAGAGTGAGAACAAGTCTATAAATCCCACATGCTGAGCCCTCACTGGAAAGGAGAAGGGCAAATGGAAGCTGACAGGTGGTTAGTAATTACATAGTCAATTCATGTTTACAGAGGAGAGAGAACTTCAACGGGGATAATTAAAACCATAATCTACCTCCTGCCTAAACAGCACCTAAAAGACCTTGAGGGAGAAGAGGCAGTTCAAACTAACACTTGTTTCCACTTCTGTATACCTGATTGTCCTTATCCCTTATCAACGGGTATAGCCTCAGGTAAAGCAAACATCCGGTTAGAAGTCACATGCTAAAAGCCGCAGGATGGAAGGGGACTCAGAACTTGGGGTTTTCATTTTTTTAAGTCACAAGTCCTTTTCTTAAAAGTTTGAACAAAGTAGTTAAAATGTACAGCTACTCAAACTCCAGCAGCGATGGTGTCCCAGAGAACAAGCCGCTCACATCTACACCTGCTGCCCCCAGCCCCACATCCCTGCTGTGGCTCCTGCAGCACAGTCTGAAAACTACTCATAACACTTAATTTTAGAGAGGCAGAAACAGAAGTCAGAAAAGCAAGGGGACTTCCACAAAATGACACAGCTGGAGGGACAAAGCTGTGACTGGCATCCAACCAGTATTCCACTGGACAGTTAGGTTCTCTTTACCACTGAACACCATCTTCCTAACTTACATACTAAAAAGACAAAGAAAATAAGCCATGTTTGAAAAGAATGTGTCTCCTCACAGGAAGAAACAACCATGGAAGGCTGGTTAGCCATGAAGTCTGGCACCGACAGCTTGGACTCCACTAATCTGCATTTGAACAAAATATCACCTCCATCTATGGCTGACAGGAGTTACCAAGACAGTTTTTTTGAACATTAAAACAAATTAAGTCAAAAAAATAATAAAGACTTCACAGTGAATGCCTAACAGATTCACATTTACAACTATATTGCATATGCATGCTTACAGTTACACTCCGGAGGAAGTATAAGCCACATTAATGAGATTGGGCGGAAAGAAAAAAGGGAGTGAATAGCCAACAAAATTAACTACAGTGACTAATGGATGAATTACAGTCTTATGATGCCAGGCACGATTTAGTGTTCTTCTCACAGAACCCCAACGTAGATCATCTGGTTGTGCTTTAAAGCATCTATATTTTAAAACCAAATGTCATGCCAAGCACTTTCTTAGACTTGTATGCTGTAGAGTTCAAAGTTCATATCAACATGTGTAAATCATTTTCTAAAGTACCGTAACTTTCCCCTATTTGAGAGAGCAGGAATGTGGACAGAGCCCTCAAATTTCAGCTTCACATGGCCTTCAGGGATTCAGATTCACATTGGGCCTGAGTCTACGGCCATACAACCCAGAAGACTAGGAAAAATCCTGTGGCCCCGACTCCTGTGCAATTCCACTAGTTTGTGTTGCATTTTCACCTTTTTATTTTGTAAAAGGAGGATTTATAGTATCCAGAGATAAATTTATACCCAACAGCTTGACACAAGGTATTTCCTGGCCTCATCCGCATCACATCCCTTAAGTACGTCTCACCTCCTCCAGCTTGGAAACCATTCCGACATATGGTTGTATGCGCCCTTGCTGGCAGTACTGAAGCAATGAAGACAGGCTCTTGGAGAAGACAGGAAACTTTGTTTCTTTGTATTGACCATAGCGCAGGCCCATGGCAGAGACATTCTTCAGGAGTAGAAGGTTGGCTGGCACAGAAGCGATGTTTCCTCCAGCAAATCCCACCACCACAATCCTGCCCTCCCATGCCAGGCTGAGGAGACAGAGAAGAAGAAAAAGAAATTATAAAAAAAAAAAAAACAACATACATTCACACCCATTAGGATGGCTAGTCTCATAAAATAATAAGTGAAAAATGTTGGCGAGGGAAATTTAAGCCCTTGAGCACGGTTGGTGGGATTATAAAATGGTGCAACTACTACAGAAAACTGTATGAAGTTTCCTCAAAAAATTAAAAATAGGTTTAGCATTTCCACTTCTGATATATATCTAAAAGAATTGAAAGCAAGGTCTCAAAGAGATACTTGCATACCCATATTCATAGCAGCAGTATTCACAATAGCCAAGAAGTAGAAGCAACCCAGTGTCCATCAACAGAAAACTGATAAGCAAAATGTGATATATACATATAATGAAATATTATTCAGGCTTAAAAAGGAAAGAAATCCTGTCACATGCAATAACATGGATGATCCTTGAGAACATTATGCTAAGCGAAATAAGCCAAACATAAAAAGATAAATACTGTATGATTCCACTTAACAGGAGGTATCTAAATTAGTCAAATTCGTAGGAACAGAAAGTATAATGGTGGTTACCAAGGGCTAAGAAAAGGGAGGAAAGGAGAGATGTGGTTTAATGGCTATAGTTTCAGGTTTACAAGATGAAAAAGTTCTTAAGATCTGTCACACAACAATGTGAATATAATTAACACTATTGAACTGTACATTTGAAAATGGTTAAGATGGCAAATTTTATGTTATCTGTTTTTTACTATAATAAAAAAAAAAAAGGAGAATGAAAAAAAAAAGGAATGTACATTAATTTTCACAGAGAAAGAAAGGGCAGAGGTTACCAGGGGTTGGGAAGGGGAAAGAGGCAATTAATGTTTAACAAGTACAGAGTTTTTGTTGGGGATGATTATGCAACATTATGACTGTATTTAATGCCGGTGAATTGCACACTTATAAATCATTAAAATGATAAATATTAGGTTATGGCATGTTTTGCCACCATTTAAAAAAAAACAACAACATGTATTAAATCCACAGCTGGGAACTCCTCTTGACCTTGCAAATAGGCAGGAGTGAACCATCCTTTATTATTTTG